TGTGGGTCACCCCCGGGGCCGGGGATCAAACACGCACTGAAGTGGCTGTGGCCTGCGTGCGGGGCTGCATCCTGACCCGCTGCGCCACCAGGGAGGGCCCTGGACGAGCCTTTTTGTGACACTCACATGTTTATCTGAAAGTTTCTGGAAAGGCACAGCCAGCACATGAAGCCTGAACATGCAGACCGCTCCTCAGAGTGCATTTCCTTCTAAGAGTGAGTTCTTTTATAGAAAGCGCTGCAGAACCAGTGTGGAGCACCAGAGGGCCAGCCCCGAAGAGTGGGCGAGGGGAGACGTCGGAAAGTCTGAGGTGGAAAGGAGGGGTGAGGGTGGCCTTCGGGGTGGGGTAGGAGCCCTGCAGTGCAGAGCAGAGAGGAGCAGAGCAGTGGGGGAGCGAGAGGCTGTGGGCCAGTGGGCGGAGGGGGGAAGCTTGGCCCCTGGAGACAGCCAGAGCTGAGCGACTCCCCCGGAAGGGCTGCGAGGTCCCCGGGGGCGTAGCAGGGCGAAGCTACCTCAGCCCCTGGGCCGGGCCCAGTCCTCTCTCCTCCCTTGGTGGTGTCCCCACAAAGCCACAATGAGGCCCCCACGTGGTGCAGAGGACGCACGGGCAGTGAGGGATGAAGGAGCCGCCCAGGCGCTACCCAAGCAGACTCAGGCCAGCCGCCGCTGAGCCAGACATGTCACTCCCACAGTAAGCAATTTTTAAGGTAAAAGCCACCCAAAGCAAACTCCCACTAGTCTGGACTCGCGGGCTTCCCCATCAGCCCCCACCCCGACATTGCAACACCAGCATTAACTACACCGAGTGGCATCACCGGCCGGGCTGCCCCCAGGCTCCTGCGCGCCCAGCCGCCCAGCCTGCTCTGCCTCGGCCCACCGGCCACCCGCCGCGGGGCTTCCTCGGGTCTGGGACGGCAGACTGGCTGCTCGTGTCAAACAGGCCTCAAGTTGAGAAAGTCGGGCTACTGCGGAAGGCAGGTTGGAGCAGAGAGTGGCCAGCGCCTGGGCCCGCGAGCCTGCTCCCGCCTCAGCGCGGCAACGACCCACGCCCCACACCCGCGAGCCCTGGGAGGGGTCTCCGGATCGCGAGCCGAGCCTGAGGCCAGCCGGCCTCTCTGTGGCTGTGACCACCGCCCAGGCTCCGTCCCGGCATGAACACCAAAGC